TATATATAAAATTTCAATTTTCAAAAAGCTTCAACTCTTTACAGTGATGAGATTTTGAAATGAAATTTGGCAGATATATAGAGCTGATATAGCTTTATAAAGTTACTAGTCAGATTTTTTCTAAACCTCTTAGATAAAAAAAAAGTTATAGCTATTTAAAAAATTGAAACAATTCATATAACTGTTAAGTATAGACTTCCAGCACCATATTAAGAATCTGCAAAGAGATTCTCTGGCTATAACCAATTGTTACAAATTTTTACAAGAATAAGACTCAGACTATAGATATACTATAAATAGAATTAAATCAAATATTAGATTTATTTAAATTTGATTTAATTTAAAAATCTGGATTTGAATTTGATTTGATTTAAAAAACTAAATTTTAATTTGATTTGATTATTTGATTTTAAATCTTTAAAGAGTAATATTATTTATCATCTGATTATTTTTATCAGAGGCTTACTCCTCTTCCCACTCTTAATATAAAAAAAAATCAGGTTCATATATATAATTTTAACTTTTTTTACCCTCTCTCTCCCTAAAAAATTATTTGATTTTTGTTATATTTCAAATTAAATTAAAGTTTTAGCTATTTATAAACATCTTCAATTTTTTTAAAATTTTATTAAGTAAATTAATTTTGTATATTAAATAAAAAATGTTTTTAGAATATGATGATATAGAGTAGTGGTTAAGTTGTTATCCCTTAAATAGCAGGTCTAGAGTTCAATTTCTACTAAAAATGTTTTTAAAAAAATAAACCTATATACTAGTAATATTTATTCAATAATTGGTTAGATATATCATCTATAATCTTGGTACTACTATCTTAAAATAAAAGCTTTAGGGTGATCCAAATTCAAGGAACTAGAATATTTGAAACCTATTTGGCAAGATCTGAGCTAGAAGTAGTAAAGATCTTTAATAATATTACAAAAACCAGAACCAGAAACTAAAGAACCAGACAAATAACCTTGGAGCAAGAAGGGTTCACCAACCTGATCACTGGAGTCGTACTGAAGAAAAAGGTCATATGTTACGAAATTAAAAACCAAGAGAAGTAAAACCTTAAGGCACTTAAAGCCTAGATATAACAACCCATCTGGGCTAACTGGTTTGGTAATCAAAAGAGATTATATAAAGACCAATTAAAAATGGATATCAGGATCAGAATAAACCTTGTAAAAGCAAGAAGTAAATAATAGTAATAGTGATAAAGACTGCAAATACTAGTTCTCAGATTGGAGCATAAATTACCAAAAAATCTAGGTGATATATATGTAAAACATGAACTACTCTGATAAATTTATTATAAAGATAAAGTAGTTCTAAAGGGTCTTAGCAACAGGAATTTTTTAGAAAAAATATTTGATAGCACTAAATCAATTAGAGGGTTTAAATAAGAGATTCACAAGTAGATCTTAGATATAGCAATTGGTGAATAACTATAAATAGAAATAGATATAGCGAGCTCTTAATTAGGCAATAATTAAAGTTATATATATAGCTAATTGTACTCTTATTGATATAATAAAGTCAAGAGGTTGCTTATTTGGTAACTCTAAATTTAAACCAGAAGTTAATAAACTATGCTAACCTCCAAGTAGTTACTTTAATATTTAAAAAAAATATTCTTCTAATTAAAATAGCTCTAGTTTTATAGAATCAAATTAGCAATTGTCTTAATAAAATTTTGAAAAAATAGTCTCTGAAACTATAACTTTTTAAATTTTAGCTATTAATAAATATCTTCAATTTTCTTAAAATTTTATTAAATAAATCAATTTTGTATATTAAACAAAAAATATTCTTCTAATCAAAATAGCTCTAGTTTTATAAAATCAAATTAGCAATTGTCTTAATAAAATTTTGAGAAAATAGCCTCTAGAACTATAACTCTTTAAATTTTAACTATTTATAAATATCTTTAATTTTCTTAAAATTTTATTAAGTAAATCAATTTTGTATATTTTATAAAAAATATTTTTCTAACCAAAATAACTCTAGTTTTATAGAACCAAATTAGTGATTATCTTAATAAAATTTTAAGAAAATAGCCTCTAAAACTATAACTCTTTAAATTTTAGCTATTTATAAAATCTTTGATTTTTTTAAAATTTTATTAAGTAAATCGATTTTGTATATTATCGCTGTTTGCATATTGATGCGACCCCCCATAAAATTTGTAGATCTCTGCGTACTCCGATTGTTCAATTGCAATCGATTGTATGCGATTGTATGTGATTGTATCTGATTGTTTGAATTATTTGTACATGTATAGCAAAAACTATATAAAAATATAATTTTTTCTTAATTTTAATAAAATAATTATGGATTACCTTATAGGTACTTGCTACCAGTGCGCGAAGTGTCTTTATTGCAAAGAAGATTTTTTGAAATCTTCATGTGAATGTGATAAAAATATAGCACCTACAACACGAAATCGTACAAAACTAGTTCCATATACTTTTACAATTTATTTTAATACAAGTTATAATGATAAACAACTTAAATTCTTAAATTCTTAGCAGATTCAAAGACAAAATATAATTATAATACAGAGTTTACAGAAAATTTCAAATTTTCATTTTGCTTTGCATGCAATAGTAAATGGTATCGTATTGGTAAAGCTAAACCGACAAAATCAAAGTTGACTAAATCTACAAAATCAAAGTCGACTAGATCAACAAACTCAAAATCGACTAAATCTATTAGTCCTACCGAACATGCCTCTTTTGATACTAATAATCATATTACCAACATATCCGAAACCAACAAACTTGATGATCATACAACTTTTGATACTAATAATTATATTACTAACATATCTGAGACTCACAAGCTTGATGTTCATACAACTTTTAATACAAATAAGCATATTACCAATATACCTGAGATCAATGATCATACTGCTTTCGATACGCCAATATATGATGAATTCAAAGATCTTTTAGATGAAGATGTCAAAGTATCAGACTTAGAGAATGACAATTTTAGCAGACTGTTAGATGAGTTGGATAATAAAGATAATAAGTATGAAAGTAAAGAATTTTTGCTTAAACTATGTATTAAAAATCAAGATAATACTACATTACCTGCCAAATGATTAAACATTTTAGCGGATTCTTGTGGTAAATTCCATTATCAAATTCTTTCGCATATTCAATATCAATTAAATGATACTACTATTACTCAAAATGATTATGTATTATCATATAAAGTGACAAAAGAAACTAGGTCGAGAACTCAAATTATTAATGAGAGTGACTTTAAAAGTTTCTTTGAAAATTATAATCAGGCTACAAATAGAAAAAAAGAAGTTTTTATTAATATTCAAATGCGGCAATCTTTAAAAAGCAATGCAAAAAAATGATTACACAGATCGGTATATAATTACATTATATTTTTTATAGTATTTAGGCTGTTTGAAATGACAATGTCATTTAACATTTTTCTTCCATCATCTACAAGATCTAAATCAGACAAGCTAGTCTGAACGTCCATTATCAGGAAGGTGAACACTTCCAAAATAGTTTTATTTTATTTTAACATTTTTTTTTTAGTCAATCAAAATTCAATTTTTAAATAATTTAAGATATGATTGATTGGCTAAAATAATTCCATTTTATTCTTAACAGAAGTATTTACCATTCCTGTTAGGGTTGTTAACTTATATAACCTTTACATAATTTATATATAAGTTACAGTAATTTACATGTAACTTGCCAATATAAATTATATTGTAAGATAAGTCTA